CCCCCCCCCCCCCCCCGTTTTGGTTTAAAAGAGAAAATTGCAGATAACTGCTGAAAATAGTATTATCTTGCTTACTAGGATTAAAAATTCAAGGATTTTAATTTCATATAAAAAGGACTTTATCATAGATACATTTTCACAGCAAAGTGTACGGAAATCCCATCGCCCCCACCTTGTATTCTATAAACCTTGGTAATATTTATATTAATAAAATGTATCTATCCCTGCAGGATTGAATATGTCTGTGTAGGGAGGAGGGGGTGGATAAAACCTTATCACAGTTTGGACATCGACCAAGATTAGAGCGCTCATCTTCACTCGTCAATTCTCTGAAATATAAATTTATCCACGTTAAAAATCTTCTCTCGTAAAAAAATAATATCTATCAATTTATGAAGAGTAAACGATTGAAAAATAAGTTCTTGAAACTGACAAACCTCTTTTGATCAGTGCCAGTAAAATGTATGTTGGTGACATCTTGGCTCTCAACTTTTATATCTGTTGCTTCCTACAACAAGAAGAAAAAAAAGAGAGTTTACATTTGTAATAATGTAATAAATGTAAATTGTCGAAAAATTAAAATAAATTCTACTGTGCTCAATTATGATTAATTTAATTTTGAAGCAGATCCGGATCCGGATTCGTCCGGATCTAGTTTTAAAAAAGTCATTGACCGAAAAAAAATGAATCTTCTGTTTTCGCTATCTTTTATAAAGAAGCTTGATTACCCATCCGGATTTAGAAAGTTTTGCGGGTCCAATAGATTCGGATTCTCAGCATCAGCACAGAGTTCAAGATTTAAAAAACTTTTTTAACTTCAAGCAATTAACTTTTAAAGCACGGTATTTAAGATTTTAAAAAAAATGTTTTACCTTGAAGTAAGTATTTTCAAAGCTATGATGAAAACGACTTTGTTCAGAAATCCCGTTCTCATTATCGTAAAATGCTTCTACAGGTTCATCCACTGGCTCAAAATCAACTTCAGTTTTCTCTAACATCTTGGGAGCAACGTTTTCCTCCTTCTCCAATACTGCTTCGTTCTTTATACTTTCTTTGTTTTCATAGATTTTATCCAGCAGACCTTAAAAATAATAATAGTGTAGCTCTATATGTTTATCAGCGAATATAACTTCAAATCTGAAATGATTAAACAAGAAAATAGGCAAATAAACGTTAAGTTAAATGATGTCTCAGCAGCATAAATGCACACATTTCTTTTGGAGGAATCACAATAAACAAAAATCTATTTGCAGACAAAAAAACTCACATCTACTTCATCCTTGATTGGATGACGGTTTTGCTGGAGGATAAAATGATATCAATTCTACAGTCCCTTTAAGAAGGTCCCCGGCCAAACCACTAACCTATTGCTTCTTGCAGTAAACTTCTCCTTCTATCTTCCTCAAGATAAGAATGTAACGCGGCAATTATCAAACTTCTGCGCTCAGCGGGTAAATTGGTCTGCTTCAGAAGCTTGAACGCTAGAACTATATCAGGATAGCAGATACCGACATCAACCACTCTTTGCAGCCTAGAACATAAATGGCATAGTCTAGAAAAAAGACATCAATGGTAATTTAAATTTGAAATTTTTTTTTTACATGTTTTTTTGGCGCTAAGAACAATTTTTTACATGAGCTGGGCATTCACTGATATGTCTAGAGATGACCATAAAATAATGAAGCACCAAAAAATGTGATCCAATGAAGATTTAATATGAACTTCTGAACTTGACCTAGCTCCAATTCATTAAATTCGATCCCAGTATAATTATATTTTTGTGGGAATAATCTTTTAAATCAAATAACCTCTGATTCCAGTCTACGATGAACTGCGTGAAGGGCATGATGTTCTGTGAGAACTCGAGATTCTCGAACTCCCAAAACAGCCTCCAAACCGTCTCCAGCTGGATATGTTCAACCTTCATCACGGAGATAATTGTTTACTAAGATTGAGCCAAAAATGGAACATCATGCATTTTCTCCATTTTTGATAATTCTTCACCATCAATTTTCCTCTAAAATTTTTTTTATTTCCCCTAAAAACTAGTGTAAAGCCTCAAAAAGTGACATTTACAGAGCAAAAAAAATAATTTCTCAGTAACAAATATGCCCCTGCCTTGATTTCAATGCTTTCCATCGCATCAGTCCGATCCTGAAAAAATTTAATTGATGTTTTCTTTACCTCTAGGAACAATCAAAACGTGTATGCATTTTTTATCATTCTGCGGTCATTTTCTATAAACAATGACAATGACAAATTTATCCGTATTTTGGTGTAACTTTTTAACATGGACATGAATAAATTCATCAGGGGCATTATTGAAACATGTTTAGCCACAAACTACCTACAGGTTCAACCGTTTCCAAGTTTTCTTGATTATCGAACCATAAAACTTAATTTCTACCCTTGACGGAGATCGCGTAGATGAATGGTCCAACATCACATCATCAGTTCCAGGAGGATTATCTTTAACATGAATCTTCACTCTTTTAAAGTTCTTCATCCTATAAATGAGATTTTATAAATTTGAATGAGAATTTATTAAAGATTATTTGAATTGTATCCGATAAAATTCAAAAAAGCACCGACCAGGCCCAAATAGCAACTCATATGATCCAGGGATTGGTTGCCTGGAAAAAAAGTCGACATTTTTATTTTAGAAAATGCACCAATTAAAACAGAAACATCGCGAAATTTTAAATTTACAATTAAGAAGAAAAAGTTGTTTAGAAAAGCAACAATTAAAAACGAAAATTATTTATATCAATAGAGTTAATCATTTTTGGCTGCCTTATTTATTGAATTGAGTCTTTGATAGTTATTTTGTATTTGGCAAAGAACGGAGTAATTTCAATTCCAATCGTCTCTGAAGTCTCACCCTTGACTGAATGATCTTGGTTACTTAAAAATTTAGTAAATAAGGAAATGTTCAGTAGTTTTTGACTAATTTCTTCAAATGAAAATTTCAAAAATAAAATTAATAGTTTCCTGGATTACCTATCAACGCTTTAACGCCACACGGGGAAAATATGTACCAAGCCAAATGTTCAATAATTAAAAAAATAAGCTTTAAATTTTCATTTCTGAAAAGTTCAATTTAGAGTTCGTTATAAAGCGTCTAGGATAACCTTTATAATTTTCTTCAATGGTAGAGAATCATGATTCAATAATGGCATCGTTAGTTATTCATAAAAAATAAAATTAATAATCATCCAAGTTAATTTAATGATTCTTTAGATTATTTGATACGAACCTGCTTAATTTACATTTCGATATTTTTGGCATTTTTCTGAAAGTTAGATATGGTTTCAATTAACAGGCAAAAAAAAAACACTAGTGAAGAGTCAAAATTATTTCATATCAGAAAACGTAGATTTCAGGTACAAATTTAGTTTTTTAAACCTTATCTAAGGATTGTTCACGTTCCATTTGACCCTTCATTTAAAGAGTGGCATGACCGATTTACAACAGTAACTGCACAATTTTTTAATGATTAAGAATGAATGAGATATCCATGTTTTTAGTAAAAAAAAAATCAATTATTTTCGATTGTGGTTTCTCTATGACACTTGATTCTCTTGATATGGAGGGTTACTTGCAGTCTCTTTGATACATTTTCATTTTCTTAAACATGCTGAATTGTCTTAATCCAACTTTTTCTTGAGCCCATAATTTAAGGTTTAGTTTATTCAATGCCATGTGTTCTTCTGTGTTTCTTCATATCTCCGCTCTGGGTAAACCGTCTCTCACAGACATCACATTGATATGGTTTCTCGCCTGAATGCAATGGTAAATATTTTTATGAGGGTGGATTTTCTACGATTTTGCGAGAAGATAAAAATTGGATATCAACTGGCAAGCCTAAATTGATACTTTTAACATTACTTAGTGCTAATTAATTCCCCTGAAAACCATTAATTTCCCTTCACGCAGCTTTAATAAAACGCAGCGTTAATAAAATATCCTAACACATTATCTGAAACTGATGGTTGAAGTGTATGGAGAGGGTAAAAATATTTGTAGAAACTATTTACCCCTACCTGTATGTATCCGCATATGTCGAGTAATGACATCCTTTTTGTAGAAACTATCTACCCTACCTGTATGTATCCGCATATGTCGAGTCATGACATCCTTTTTGTAGAATGCCATTCCACAGTCTTCAAATTCACATCTGTAATATCAATATATTCTTATTATTCCAATCCAATCCAATAGAACCGAAGTTGGGAACGTGAAATGGGTGGAATCTTTAACTTACATGGGGACTAACCAGCCTCATATTGATTGAAACGTTTTCACGAATTTTACATTTTTTAATCAATCCCCTCCCCGCGTGATTAAGGTGTAACCGCCCCTGCTTTAAAAAAAATTAAATTTTTGTAGACTATGTTACCCTCTCGGGCACCCATGGGTTCCCTAAAAAATGTTAATAAATTTGGTCCAGCCGTTTGGCCAGCTATTACTAACATATTTATATGAGTTACATTACAGTTATTAGTTATTTTATAGATTTATAATTTACCTATAATTCTTCTCTCCCGTATGTGTTAACTACGGAAATATTTTAAATTCATGTTTAAACTCTTTACTGGCATACTTTTTTAGATTTTAATTTGAACAATGGCAATAATAAAAATTACAAATAATAATCGTCTAAAGGTACTGCAAGCGTAATTTCAAGTGAACCTCCATGCAAATATGACACTGCCTGGTCATAACGGTACCTTTAAACCTTAAAACTGATCAACATTGTCGGACTTATTCAAGTTTATTTTAAAAAACACGTTTAATTGTTGAACACAATCTTAAAATAATATTTTATATCAGGATTGTGAAAGAAGACATTTCTTTAATCTTCACAAAATATTTAAAAATTCCCCCAATCTTCATTGTTTTTCATTAAATGTTTAATCTATATATAAATTTGGCTTGTCTGTCTGTTTGTATCCAATAAACGTCAAAACGGCTGAACCGATCGGGCCCAAATTTTTTGTGGGACATCACGTGACCACAGGGAAGGTTTATGAATGATCAAATTTCAAATATTTGTCTCCATCAAAATTCGATCTTAATTAAATTTTTGAAAATTTTGAAAATCCACGAAATTTTTTGTGAAAATCCGCGAATTATTTTTGTTTTGTTTTACGATGTACACAAAGAGAACATGTTCACAATTAATTTAGAAGATGGGCGCGAAGCGCCCTCTAAGGCTAGTGAAAGAAAATTCACTAAATTTTATTCGTCTAACTTTCATTAAAGGCATGATGCAAATGTATTTTTTTAAGCCAGAGGATTTTAAGCTAGATTCAAGTGGTTATAATGTGAATGTCAGATTCACTGTGATAATTTTAAAATCTTTTTATTTTCTGGACACCAATAAAGAAGTTATCAATCTTTTATTTTCTGGACACCAATAAAGAAGTTATTAATCTTTTATTTTCTGGACACCAATAAAGAAGTTATCAACCTTTTATTTTCTGGACACCAATAAAGAAGTTATTAATCTTTTTATTTTCTGGACACCAATAAAGAAGTTATCAATCTTTTTATTTTCTGGACACCAATAAAGAAGTTATCAATCTTTTATTTTCTAGACACCAATAAAGAAGTTATCAATCTTTTTACTTTCTTGACACCAATAAAGAAGTTATCAATCTTTTATTTTCTGGACACCAATAAAGAAGTTATTAATCTTTTTATTTTCTGGACACCAATAAAGAAGTTATCAATCTTTTATTTTCTGGACACCAATAAAGAAGTTATCAATCTTTTTATTTCTGACGATTTTCTTTATTGTAAGTGGTGAAAAAGAAACCAAGATAAAACTTAATCAATTTTCAGATAGTTAACTGAATTCTATCTCATTCGTCAATGGTCAGGAAAAGATTAAAAGGGTAACGCTGTGAACGGGCGTGCAACTCGTTAATGGTTACTTGCAATATCAATAACAGTCCCTTTAATGACAAAATTAACACTGAAAAAAACATTCATCTTTAAATGGTTTTAATTAAATTTGAGCAAACAATAAACAATTAACAATTAACACAGAAGAGACTTTCAAAAGTTTGAGACGTACGTAATAAATAAAAGATATCTATCGTAACTACTTGAAAATTAAGAGTTTTCTCTCAAAACAACAAAAAAAAAAAACATTGAAACGAATAAATGTGACATGGAAAAAAGACATCAGCTTGGTATCTTGATAATTTTTCTCTCTCTCTCCGTGTTAGTGTCTTAAACAGGGGTATACAATTTTAAGAATTACACCCCCCGCAAGAGGGTATAAAATGAATCTAGATGAACAACATTAAAACCAGTTCCAAATCTGTCTTTTATCCCCTCCCCTTCTATACACTTTAATAGATTCTATCAACAATTTAATTTCATTTATGTAATTTCTTCATAAATTTAAAATTTCCTGATGTGTTTGTAGATTATATTTCTTCATGAATGTTTTCCCACACTGATCACAAGCTAAATAAAGGAAAGGTTTTATAAAGGCATAATGTAAGTGACCCTCCATTTAAAAAAAACTAAACGAAAAAACAGAGACATGTACGATTCACAATGATACCCTTAAAAGCTTTATATGATCAAGTGTAAATTAGATAGATATCCATGATCTTCTCTTTGAAAGCTAAGTATTTTAATTTGTGGTTTCTCTAAAACCTTTAATCCTTTCTCTGTTAAGGATCAATGAGATTTTCTTCTTATTCTACCGACAAATTGTGGGTTTTCTGATTGCAACAAAATTTGAAGTTTAAGGGTACCGTTGTGAAACGGACATGCCACTTTTATATGGAGGATTCATAAATAAAAATTTCAATACTTCTACCTTCTATTTAATATTTAATCGTCCCCCCTACCCCCTACCCACTCATTCAGATATTCCTCGAATCCAATTAAAAATTTATGAGAGAGATTTACAATAATATTTTAAAAATCATTTATTCTAAATTAAATCCGGTAATGAGAACAATTCGATATTTCAAGGGTTTAAAACAATCCTTGTTTTAGTTCCTGGGACTGTATATGAATTTAAAGAGACTCTCCAGCTAAAGAGTCCGATTCGCAACGGTATCCCTTTAAAATTATGTCTGAGTAACAATAGTGAAGATCTAAAACAGTGTTAAGTTCTTCCAAGGAATATGCTGAAATGGAAAAACTTGTGTGGTTTGGACATAAAAATGATAAAAATTAACAGACACCGACCCAATAAGTTCCCTTGTGATCTCCCACTCTATGAATGGCGGATTATTTTAATGACGTAACAGTCTGTAAAAGCATAAAGTAAATCTTGGCTATTCACGAGAAGCAATTAAGAGATAAAAGAACCAGAATAGTAACAACGAAATGGATCCACCTGAAGGAGACAATATTGCGAATAATCTAAAATCATTTGAATTGTTCATACGTAACCTAAGCCTTTTTAAATAGACGGTAACATAAATTTTAAGTTTTTTATTCAAAATCTGTGTGCGTTTATATGCTGAAATAAAAAGCAAGAAAACAGAAGTCTAAAAAACATTTTTGGATGAAATTTGAACATTTTCACTAATAATCTTACCAAATTTACGTTCACCCCCGTGGGTGATGGTATTCATGTGTTTTTGCAAAAGTGCCATCTGGTAGTATACTTGCCCACATTGATCACAGGGATACTCTCGATGGTTTAGAATATGTCGATTCAGTAAATCCTGTTTAAAACATCACGTTAGTTTCCAGCGAAGGATACAATTACAGGTAAGTGTACACTGAAAACTGTACAATATTAAATACATATATTTTATATATTTTTGTCGCACCACTTCCCCGCCCCTTAAAAAATCATTTTCATTTCAAGGTGCAGTAATTGGGAAATTTATTTAAAATCAAAAATGAAATTCAATTCTGTCATATAGTTAACACTAAACATAGTAAAAAAAACCTGATCTTTAAATATTTTATTGCAGGGTTGGCATCGAAACAAGAAATGGGTTCTCTTGTGTATTCTCAGACGCTTCTTTCCTTGAATCTCTTTCCCGCATTGATCACATTGAAACATAGATTCGTGAGCTATTTGTCGCTTCACATGCGTTTCCATATGCTTTATAAGCTTTGACTGTCGGTCAAACAGTTTGGGACAATGTTCACATTTCAAATTCTTTTTATGCACATTTTTCATATGATATTTTAAAGAACTGTCTCCAAAAAATTCTTTGGCACATATTTCACATTTGAGCTTGCTGTCCATATGAACTATTCGGTGTTTTTCTATTCCAATAAATCGAATTAGACATTTCTTTAAATGGCTCGAATTAAAACTAGTAGCATGAAAAAATTAATAATTCAAATAATTATAACACTTTGAAAATAAGAGATGATGGGCCTAGCAAATACTGCACAGGGATTCCTAATAATTAGGAGAATGATAAGACATAACGTTTTTAATTGACGCAGAACAATTTCAACAGTATTTTAGTTAAAACAATCCCCAACATAAATTAGTAGTCTAAGGATTTCCTAAAAGTGATCTACCAATTTTCATCTCTAATTAATTATGAATGCTAATCTATGTAATAAAACAAGACATTCGTATATATGTTCCCTATAGCCGGCCAAACGGCTTGACCGAATGGGCTGAATTTTTTTGTGGACACTCATGGTAGCCTAGGGGTTAACATAGGCTAAAATAATCTAATTTATTTTTCAAGTTTTGATTTTTTTTCAAATCATTTTTTATTTTTTTCCACAGGAAACACCGGCCCTTCAGCTAGTAAGTAATATAACCTTTATTTGAATATCAATAATTCGTTAACTATCGGCATTCAACACAGTCAAGTCGTCTCTTAATTTCCATGTTTCATTCATTCATATCATTGAAAAACGTGAAGTGTAAAATCTAAATTGTGGCATAATTTCTTAGTTTTATTAGTTAAATATTTTTCAATTTAAATTTTTCAAAACTTTTCTAATTTCTTGTAAGATTTATTCCTAAAAGTTTTTGAGTATCGTAAGATGCTGAGCAAAGAGAGCATGGAAACTTCCTACGCGGCATTTCATGCGCCACCTCGTGGGCCTTAAACTCCTGAACAAACCGGTTCTAGAACACTTAAAGAGATGGTATAATCAAATGACTCTCTGGTCAAAGACGGGCATGTCCGATTCACACCGGTACCCATTAATTTACCTCGAGCAAAATATGAAAATATGTTCTTGTTTTTCCATCTAAATATTTATAATTTTCAACTGTAGATTTTCACTCCATTTCTAGAAAATAATGACAAACCGGAAATGTCGTCGGAAGAATTATGGTAAATTATTACTGGTGGTGGAAGAAACGATTTTTTATAACCAGGGGTGGGGAAATGATTTTGAATGAATCGAGGAAAACAAAAAAAAATGTGACATCAAAAGGCAAGTTTTTCATACTTTATGAAGCTTTCCTAAAAAGAAATCTTTTCCCCCAAAAAAGTCATTTATTTCCCCATTTTAGCAAAAAAAAATTTGTTTTAACGATAGGCGCAACCATATAAAACTTATTGGGAAAATAAATTATTTTCTAAAAGGGAAGAATGATTTTTTAGGAAAATATACATCCCTGACTAACCTGTAACCTAGGACAGGACATTGGACAAATAGAACACTTGAAGGGATTTCTAGTTTCATGCTCATCAAACCCTCCGCTAAATTAAATAAAGGAAATCCAATAAAAAAATTGTATTCAAATTCTTCAAAAATTTATTTAATCACAGAAAAGATGAATCAAATTCAAAAATTTTATGGAAATTCTTAGAAAATATACTTATTCAAATACAAGATTAATTCAATTCATAAAAAAATATTAATTTACTTTGGAATGATTACAGTCTTCGATCTTATTTTGAACTAAAAATTTTCGTAAATAAATCAGTGAAAAACTTCACAGTTCCTAGCACCATGCATGTTATAGTAACTCAAGAAAATTAATCTCATTCACATTTTTTAAAATTTCAGCGTAGAAAGAAAAATATCAACAGCACTTTCTAGCAGTTTAGAGAACAATAAATTAAAATTTATAAAAAAACCTTAAATAATTTTCATCCTTATCTATATCATCCTCCTCTTCATTGTCTACACTCTCATCCAATTGTACTTTCAGTGTGCTCACATCATCCATCTTAAAGGAAGTGTTCACAAAACAACAATAAGGGAAAAATATGAACCGTAATTTAATCCAAAAATGAATTATTAGCATTAACCGGTGTTTTTGACTACATTTTCAGTGTTTATGGAGAAAGATTAAAATCAAATTCTATGAACAGAAACATAGAATGGAAATAAAAATAAAGCTTACAAATGATTTGTTCCACTTTCGTTTATTCTAAACCCCTTTACAGGAAAAATTGTCAAAATTTTAAATTTCAGATTAAAATATTGTGAGATTTTTAATATTTTTTACCTCAGATTTGACGAGAAATTTAGAATTCTCATTCTTCATCCCATTCAAAGCATTCAGCGTGAACAGAAGGAGATTTTCCTATAATTAATCAATAATTTTTCCTATAATTATAATTGTGAGTCGGGCATGCCCATCTGTAAATGGAGGGCAACTTGTGATTAAAAAAAGACAGCATTCAAGATTATTTACTCAAATTAAAGGATCATATATTTCTTTTTTATTGTTGTTCCATCATTTTGTATTCGCAATTTCATGGGCCCTTGAATATAAAATATAAAAATCTATCTCTTGTTAATTGAATTGACCAAGACCCCCCCTTAATAAGATAAAATGTTTAATCGTCCTTACGACTATAGAATTTTAAAATTAAATTAAGCTATCCGAGAAGTTGTATCAGGGTTGTTCATCTCAGCTTAATTTTAATAGAATTAATCCAAGTATCGAGACTACATCGTATTGTCAATTGGTTTTCAGATTGAGTTCACGGCAAAATATCAACAAAAAACTGCAAACAAAAATCCTTTTCTCTCAAAACCCAAATCTGAGCTGTTGAAAAAACAGAGATTTTAGCATAAACATAAAGAAAAAACAGAAGAAAAATAATTCGAAAATTCTTCCTTTGTTAAAAAAACAGAAGTCTTAAAGAAATGTTTATGACCTGGATCCGGATCGGATACATATTTTCCAGGATCCGGATCAAAATAAAACGGATCCTTAGTATATACGGATTCATAAAAAATATTGAAATAATGAATAAACCTAGTATAATTAAATCATTGATCTGCTTGGAAGCAAGTTCTGACAAAAGAGATCATTTTTAAAATTAAAAATTTCTCTTAAACACTTTATTTATAAATAGTAAATACATTGGATAAGTCGGATAAAATCCAATTACGAATAAAATAAATCCAAATGAATATTAAATATTATTATTATTTCTAAAACTTTAATTCTAATCTGAAACAAACAAGAGACATTAATGTTCTGAAATGGCATCCCAAGTCTATAAGACTATTTGATTCGATTTATTTGAAATTAAGGGTATTCTATACAACATGAATTATGCAAGTTATACTAAATTATACATTAACTTTCCTTATTAAAGTTCCAAAATGGCATGATATAATATACAATAATTAATAATAATAATAATAATGATCGCTGTCAAACCTTCAATCTAGGTTGTAGGCTTGAGCTCCCTCCGTTTAAGTTCCAATGAATCAACCCAGTTATGAGCTGTGTGTAAATTAAAGCCTCGCTAATCAAAGACGGCTCTCCCAAAATCTATCATAATCTGACACTGGAAATTCTGTTGCATTAAAAGAATCAAGCCGACCACCAGGGAATAAGAGCCATTTTTACACTATACATTACTGTGCAGTACAACACAGACAGTACAACAGATGAATTAACCATCTCTTAGTGACATTAATGTACTAATACTGAATAGCATCTCCTTCTAGCTTAATTACTTACTATAAATAAATCTAGTCTACTAGTGAGATTTATGTGCTTAGACTGAATAGAATCTCTTTCTAGCTTAATTACTTACTATAAATAAATCTACTAGTGAGATTTATTTGCTAATACTGAATAGAATCTCTTTCTATCTTAATTACTTACTATGAATAAATTTACTAGTGAGATTTATGTGCTTAGACTGAATATAATCTCTTTTAGCTTAATTACTTACTATGAATAAATCTCCTAGTGAGATTTATGTGCTTAGACTGAATAGAAACTCTTTCTAGCTTAATTACTTACTATGAATAAATCTCCTAGTGAGATTTATGTGCTAAGACTGAATATAATCTCCTTCTAACTAAATTACTTAATATGAATAAATCTCCATGTGAGATTTATGTGCTTAGACTGAATAGAATCTCTTTCTAGCTTAATTACTTACTGTGAGTAAATCTCCTAGTGAGATTTATGTGCTTAGACTGAATAGAATCGCTTTCTAGCTTAATTACTTACTATAAATAAATCTCCCCGTGAGATTTATGTGTTTAGACTGAATAAAATCGCTTTCTAGCTTAATTACTTACTTACTACTGTAGATGATCAGCAAACTAGATTGACCAGAAATACCTCCTACTACAAGAATCTTATTGCAACAAGATAAAAAAAAGACATAAGACAAAATTTCTTTTCTGTTAAGTGGTTTCCTTCTGGAATAATTAGCCATTTGATGTCCAGGACTCCAGGAATGTGACTAGTTTTAATACTAGACTGGAGAAAAGTGCCATTTAAACTTCTTTTCTGTTTCTGTTTTGATGTTTCCTATCAGTATGGCACCTGGGCCTCATTCCAGTATATCATAAGAATTCCTGCACTCTATATTCTCAGGCCTAAAAAGCCTCTTAGGCAGCTGGAATCTTGTCAACCCTCTTCTCAGCTTGAATGAAGCGTGGATGGATGAATGTGCTGCCAGATTACAACCCCTGGTAGATCAATATAAAACCCAGACAACACCAAACTTTCGAAATAGAAAAATTCTGAGATTCGATTTGTCCTGGGGACAAAAAGTGAGATTAATTTGCTAATTGAATAGAATCCCTTTATAGCGTACTTACTTATCATGAATAAATCCCTTTATAATTGACTTATTTATCTTGAATAAATCCCTTTATAGCGTTCTTACTTATCATGAATAAATCCCTTTATAATTGACTTATTTATCTTGAATAAATCTACTAGTAAGATTAATGCACTAAGCCTGAAAAGAAACCCTTTCTACCTGAAGATAGTTAGGTTTTGACTGAAGATGGTTGAATATGTTGGATCTTGTCTCCCGGTCTATCCTAGTCAGTGATACATATTAGCAAAACAAGGATTCTTGGGCAAGTTTAATCAAAATATAGTTCCAAAAATTTCTTATTAAAATATTTTTTTTTCATTTCAGCGAAAAACTCTAAAATTCTTAACATACTGGTGGGGAAAAACATTATGTTTAAAGAATGGGGGGGGATTATTTTTGTACCAAATATATTTCTCTACCTGGAGTTCTTAACTAGTTTCAAGGAGAGAACGGTTTCGGAGTAAGAAATACCAGCCTCCATAGCTCCGGTCAACCTATAATAACAGAGTAAACTTAGAAGGGACTGTTAAGCTCATTGGCTCGTCAGTTTTTATATATGGCTTATTTGCGCCATGATCTTTATATGAAAAAAATGTGTGACCTCTTTTAAGAAATACCATCACAATTAAGTAAAATTGCTGATCTTCTGTCATCTTTTCAGTATTTATTTTATTAATGAAGTGTGGACCGAAACAAAAAAACCTTCATATTATTTGCAGAAACCCTACTTAAATAGTTCATTGCATAGCTTGTGGGTTTACTTTTACAAAGTACGTTTGAAGATTTTAACCTGTTTTGCCATTCGGTTAAAAACCCTGTAAATGTTGTCTTCTCATCATCGTAGGTGTAATCCTCGAACTCTAAAAACCGGTTCCAAATCTGATCAAGTTCACTCCCCTCTTCAATCTTAACAAGATCAGAAGGCTCCATTTTTCTGAAATTTGATATATGTTTTGAATGTTACATTAATTTTTAATTGGTTTAATTGGTGTGATTATGTTTATATATCACGGGTGTGATAATTTAAAACATCTCTTTTCCGACTTCATTGGCCGTTCAGGAATTCAGCCAGTTATCGAGCTGGTTTTTGAAAATGTTCAGGTTTCCAGCACTTTTGATTTCATATGGAATATCATTCCATATATTGATAACTCTTGCACTAAAAAAGTTTCTTTGTATTTCGGTGTGCACAACAGGTAACTTCAGATTTAAAGGATCACGGGACATTCTGGTTTGTTTTTCATTTTCACCAGGTACATAGGCTGAGCTAAACCAGTTGTTTTTATCCACATGATCATGTTCATGAAGGATTTTCCAGACTTGAATCATATCTCCCTTCTTCTTTCTTTCCTCCAGACTAGTGAGTCCAACCTCTCTCAATTTCTCTTCATAGGTAGATCCTGAGAGTCCAGAAGTCATGGAAATAGCTCTTTTCTGTACTTTTTCCAGGATTTCTTTATCTTTAATCAGCCAGGGATTCCAGGCTTGTATACAGTATTCAAGGTGGGGCCGTACATAAGTTTTATACAGAGATATCCATACAGTTTTGTTTCAGTCTTCAACAAATACTAAAATAAGAAAAATCTGTCTGAGCCGCAAAAATAAGAAAGTTTCTCAAGAGTGCCAGATGTTACCTAAAAACAAATACATTTTTATTGTAAATATGTTAAATGGACTGTAAGCGTAATTTCAAGTGAAATTTCATGTAAAGATAGCAACGGTATCCTTGACACCTTTATCTGATAAATAATGAGGAAAATATAGTTATTTTACTTGGTTTAGAAGTCTTGAGATGGAAATTCCTATGTTTTTTTGGGAAGAAATTCACAAGTCACTTTATAGAGAAACTAAAATTAAAAATAATCAGATTTCAAAATTATAAACATTGATATCTAATTCATATTTGATCAGACAACAAACCTAGGGTAACGTTGTCAATCGGGCATAGCTGTTTTTGCATGGAGGGTTACTTGAAATTATGCTTGAAGTCCCTTTAAGTAGGTGTATTTAATATCAAATCTAGCGAAAATATTTTAATTTTTCCAAGTAACCAGCGACATCACTGCAACCGGACAAGAAGTTCTTGTGATATGAAAATGAAGTCAGTCCTAACCTGAATGCGATGTTGCTAATGTCAATGATTGGCCATGAATTAATTATACAACTCTTGCTCTTCTGACAGTGATTATATCAGGCAAATCAGGTAAATAAATAATAATGACTGTGTTTCCTGTTTATACAAAATTAGAAACCTGCAAAGCATATTGCAGAAATATATGCTTCTTAAACCATTCATAAAAATTAACCTTGTATAACCTTACACTTTTTAATTAACAATCTATTGAAGAAATTACCTATTTAATCTCCTTTAACTTTGTGGCTTTGTCTCATATGTCTCTTGATCTTATGTCTCCCAAAGAACTTCATATCACACAAAGTACAGGTAATAGGCTACAATTATAAACACAGGGTAAATAATAGTTTGAACATTCATTGCCTCCCCCCCCCCCCTCAAAAGTCATAATTTTCTCCACTTATAATAGTATTTCTTTGAGCTTATTTAACTTTTTGGGAAAATAAAATTTATTTTTGGAAAAGGTTTATTAGGGTAAAAAACCCTGAGAGCAAGCATTAATTTGTTTATACAGGGTGTCTCACGAAACAAACAAGACTTGAGAGATGAGTTGAAGGTAATCTTAGATCTTTGAAATAATTTCTGGCATTCATGTCAATTTACTTTAACAGATAGGATTCTTGATATACAATAGTTACATTATTTATCTAGTCTAAGCATTTACAGAATGGATCATTTTTGTACTAAAAACTGTCGGAAATATTTCAACAAATTTTAATAAATCTAAAATGGTCTAAATCTGAAGAAAATTCTACGTATTTCTAGTAGATTGGGAAGCAAAGAAAAGGGAAACCACATTTTGAGAATGCAAGTCCTCTAGGTGTAATATGTTGTCATAGTTGCAAGAACCATAATTGTATAATTACGTTGAAGATTTGTAGAAATGTCAAGATATCTCATAACTGTCATTTTTCATGGGACACCGTGTTGTTTCTGGAAAAAATATATCCCTAGTCAGTTTCATAATTCACCTCATCATGTACGCATTTATGGCTATATAGTCCTCCTTGCAGACTAAACCAGACATTTTATTTTCTTTCAGATTGATAATACGTCTCTTGTGAATTGACAGATTGTTAGAGGGATGGCAATAATCTTGATATCAAAATGTTATATGCATTATACAATTCAGGCCAATCCCATATGCAAAGTTTGCTCGAGAAAGATCATGTCAAAGGAACTGAATGCTTGCCTTATTCTTTAATTTCTATTCCCTACATCTTATCCACTGAGAAATAATTTGGTTCATTTCAGTTCGAGTTTCAGGCAACTAGACTAGTGCAAGTTGTACGTAGACAGTACAGTAGGGAAAAAAAAACTTCAGACAGCAAACAGGCAAATCTCCTTTTAGTAAGATTAATGTCTAGCAACCTGATAGTGCAAACCTTTCATATTTTAAACTTTGACTATTTGATTTAACAGAATTAAGTGTGAAATATTAAGGTTTACAACATAAGGTTCAGAAAATTAGAGTTATGGACAGGAGTTTAGTATCTTTGGGCGTAATCAAATCAAGCCTGAATGTTATAAAATATATGAAAATACCAATAATCGTTAAAGAGAGACTGGCTAAGTAACAAAGTTGAACTGAGACTGCAGAAAAATTTTAGTATTCATTTTATACCAAGAAGACGCTTTTACAGTGTATAATCACTGAGTAAGAAGGTAAAATCACTGAGTAAGAAGGTAAACTCGTTTGTCGAATTTCAACGGATAGGATAAGTCAAGGAGTTCTAAGCAGAAACTTTTTTTTACAATTATATAGAAACAGGACAGAAAAAATAATACAAATTTTTCTATAAACTAATTATTTATTTAAGGACAGACTGAGAAAATAAAATTAATCTTTATCATCCATAAAATAAGTAAATTTATTCAGTTTTCAGTTTCTGTGATGGCTTATTCTTTCTAGATGTTTCCTGTAGATTTTCTTGAATCTCATTGCAAAGACGGCATTTAAATAAATTTGAAGAAATCTGCGAACAAATTTACAAAAAATAGATAAGCAATTATAATGATGATAAAGAAATAATAAAATCTACCATTGATTTCATCATGTTTTTAAACAACAAATTGGTTTACAGAAGAATTTTTGTTATGTTCTTTACCCAGGTTATTAAATAATTATTAAAAAAAAAATTCTCTTCAGGACCCTCTTGAACTATCTTGCTGGTATCAAATGAATCCTAAAGTTGTTCAATAAAATACTTCAAGCAGTTTCAGTTCAACTACATTACCTATAGCCAGTCTCTCCGTTTAAGAGTTGAGATATCGATGAAGTTTGGTTTAGTTGAGTATATTCCAAAAAAAGTATAAAATGTTCCTATATGAAGCACTGCAACTAGAACACTGGAAGGGTCTTGAAGGAAGTTTATGAACTGGCAAGTGATGCTGCAAACTGAATACAATACAAATGTCATCAATTCCCTTTTAAGTACTACCTATACCCCCTCCTTTTCGATTTGTAAAATTTTGCCTTTTTATCTTAACATAAATTGGCCTAAGGGTGTATGTACACTTTTTACTGTACACTGTACTATACATCAACACATGGGGAGGGGCATCTCACATTAGTTATGAGTCCAAGTATCATCTAGTATAAATTATAGCATAGCATTGGTACATGTGGATGTGTTTCTATCAAAGAGAATAGTAATTTACTTATTACACTTGATTTAATGTTCTATGTTGTCATTCTTTAGTTTAAAAACTCACCCAGCATTAAAATAAACAAACAGGGGACACTCCGGACACTGGAAAATATCGGAGGTTCCATCTTCCCTAACCACTTCCCTAGAAATATTCAAGAGTAAATATTATTAGATAATTCATCAAATTTTTAATACACGAAAAAAATCACTATTTCTTTTCAAATATCAATTTTTCTAAAGATAAAGAATAAAATGTTTTATTTTTTTTTGTCTGAATTCTGTTTTGAATATGGTTGATAATGCTTTATTACCGTGGAACAATTTTTTTTTTTGAATTTTTTCTTTTATCCTTCTCTATCTTCTTCCCAGGTTCACCCTCCTGCACTTTTATCAATTTCTTCTTTTTCTTTTTCTTTTTATTACTCTTTTCAAAGGAAATAAAAGGTTGATGATTATAAAGAATATTAAGAATATTAAGAGAGAATAAAAAGCATAAAAAATGTAATAAATTTAATTTACTTAAAATATCACAATATTTCCAGTGCTCATGAAAATAAAAATTTTAATTTTAAACACAGAAAACTAATATTCAAATATCTACCTACCCGTGAAAAAAATTGGGAAAAGTTTGGACATTCAAAGCTTTCCGTCTTTTTTTACCACTACACTATATTTGTAATAAACTATAAAACGCCAAAAAAAATGTAAAAAAAGAAGTAAAAATAAAAATATAAGAAATATAAAACAATCAAGTAAAAAATCTCAGGTTCATTTCCTTCAACCTTAATTTGGTTTTGATCTTGAACCTTCTGGTTTGTGTTTTCAATATTCTTAGCATCAATATTCGTAGCATTAATATGTGAATCATCAATATGTGTATCATCAATAGAAAATGTAGTTTGAAGAGAACTATTTTCAGTCTTGTTTAAATATTTAGTTATCTCTGACTCATCAGTTTCCTGGATGAAAGGGTTTGTTAATGTAATTTCAAGCGACTTTTTATTAGAAAAGTGTCCAGTCCCACCCATATTTACTAAATAAACAATGTTAAATAATAAATTTTTCTTTCTTTCCATTAAAATCTATTTGGGTAAATATTTTTTTTTGAAATTATTTCGAAGATTGGCGTGGATGGACGATGGACAATGGGCATATATCGGCGAATTTGTTCCCCCTTTTTGATACTTTTGACCCAAAAATTCAAAACTCATATTATATCCTAGGATTTATTTTTAAAGAAAAAAATCAAAAGTTAAAAAAAATATTAAATCCTGAAATCTAACCTGAAACATCTGCGAAAGGATCAGCATAGTCTGAAGTAGTAAACTCTTACGATCCAGACAATGCATGCGCAGAGCAGAGAATATAAACTCCTGCGCATCCGCGTCCAGATTACTGTTCTTAAGTAATTTGAACGCTAGGACAGATTCGGAATAACTTATCCCTGCATCCAGGGCGCTTGTTAGCCTGAACAGTACCAAGAAAAATAAACAAAAAACTCCATCAGCTTTGCTTTACAAATTTGCACTGCAGTTTCTGAGATAAATGTGAACAAACTCAGATCGAGTTTTAATTTAACTTTTAAATGAAAAAAAAAAATATTTATCGGTCGAAAACAGTAAAATTGAAAATAAGATCGGTTTTTAATTCTGAAAAAGTTAGTATATCTACAATCTACATTCTACCCCTTCTTTTCAACATTTTTGAAAAGAAGATCCATGAAAGTATTTATGGGACAGACTTCAGCCATTTTCTATGAAGCTCATACGGTGTTACCCAAGAAAATAGGAATGGAAAGAAGATTGTTAGGCTCAAATAATGGTTTTAGTCAAATGAAAGCACAGAATAAGTACCATTTTCACAAAATAAGTTTGATTTTCCAGCTTTTAGTAAAATTGTTATGCAGGCCAAAGAGAAATAACTTATTGTGATCAGATTGTGTATAAACGCCATTTATTCTGATATTATTCCAAGTTAAATTGAGATATCGAGGATCAAAATGTTTTTCATTATATTAAGAATACAAAATAGTTTTATATAACAATTAGGTATGCTAATGATTTTAAAAAGAAAAAAAAACTTTAATCAAGGGAATAAAACATTTTGTATGCCAAAACCAAACCTTGAGAAACATACCTAAGGTTCAATTGGTTCAAAAGTATATCTATTTAAAGGACCAACAAACAGACAAGACAAAAATGTTACATCATTACCTAATTTGCCATTCGTCAAGAAAATCAGAAAAATCAGTGTCTTCCTCATTAAAGAAGAATTCCTGAAAAAAATACTTTTAAATCTAATTAACATTGAATAACTTTGTATCTTAGTTCTTAAAATATACTAGACTAAGCTTTTCTTAGAATTTTGGATCATTAAGTGAAGAAACATTAAATTCCCAAAAGTTATATAAAGTTGAGCCAAGTTAGGGGTGGGGAAAATGATTTTGTTAATTTGGGGAAAACGTTTATTCGTTTTTTTTTAAATACTTTTTATTCAAATATGTTCCTCTTAAAATCATTTATTTTCCCAATTCAACAAATAAAACCTTAAAATAAATACATTACTTCCGGCCCCGGGAAAAAATAGTTTCACAAGGGGAGGGGGAATGTTTTTTGAGAAAATATACACCCCTACAACAGCCTGCAGAGGAAAGTCAAATTTTCTAACCAAACAGCTTCGCAGCTTGATGGTGTATAAACATTAAACAATTCAGAACAATGTATTTTGATAGATTGTGGTCAAATGTGGAAGATAACAACAGAAAAGATTTGTCAGGTTTAAAAGATGTATGTTATAAGAAAATAAGAAAAAATAAGGCAAATAATCAGCTCCTTTTCATACCTCAAAATGAGAATATTTCACCCAAGTCTCTTCCAGCCATTTTTCAGTTTCCATTTTTAATAGCAGTCCTCCAAGCTAATTACTACTTCACTTAAAAACTCGATTCACGCAGGCTTTTAACTTTTGATATTACTAGCTCATTTGTTCACTTGATTAGCTAAAATTTACCAGATATCTTCATAACAAATTTTCTCCACATTTTAAAATTTCAGAATTTGAATTCCTTTATCTCTCTGAAAGTATAAATATAAAATTATTAAATATCCGTCAATAAATAAAATAGAATTTGCGTTCTTGACAGTCACAAACGTAAACGTTATACAGTTTACAACTCTCATGAATGAACATAATTAAAAGATACTTTACTTTAAACTAATTAGATTTTGTACAGGAGCTAATTAAGAAAATAGCTTTCAGAAAATTTAATTGAATTTTCTAAATTAAGGAATAAAGATATACAACGGCCTTTGTTTGAAAATGCAAAAAGCTCTAATTTTAATATTTTGGAAACGCATGTAAAAAATTTGAAAAAAGGAACCTTCTTTTGCGTTAGGTTTAAAGGGACTGTCTGCTAAATTTCAAGTGTCTATCTAACTAATTGAGTGGTGCCCTTGAAAGATTATTCTGATAAAGAAATTAGATATCAATACTCAACAGTCCTCTTTTTAAAAGTTGATAATTTTCAAAACATATTTTGTGTTGCTTCAGAATAGAAACATTATGGAGGAATTGTCAGAATTCTGCACTTTAACCCTATTCCCGCTGGGGGGGGGTCAATTTGACCCCCCCCAGATTCAGATTCACAAAAAAGCGGCTTAGTTGCAAAATATGTACCAAATGTAAGAAATTTAGAAAATCTCCGAGAAATGGTCTGGATTCGCACCTTTTTAAAAAAATGGAACAAGGAGTAGGAAACAGATTTGCACAAGATTAATTAAATGTTTATAATAATACTTGGTATAAGATTAGATAATATAAAACAGTGTAAAATTCCATAAACTATTAATATCCATTCTGAAGTTCTTCTTTTGTTTGTTCAAGTACTGTTTCACAGCTCATTTCAAGTCCATCACAAGATTCATCCCATTGGAGGGATGTTTCCAGCCCTGACGTCTGATAAATAAAAATATTATTTAAAATTTGATACGCCCGCACCCTTTAAATATAAACCCTTTAATTCTTTACAGGATAAACGATGAGAAATGTTAAAGGGACTGTAGACCTAATTCAAATGTTCGATTCACAATGGTATCATGTCACCCTTTACTTGTGAAAAAATGAGAATAGTATGGTTTTTATCTTGAAACGTGTTGAAATCTGACATTTCTTTTATTGTTTCAGGTCTCTGCAGCAAGAATATTTAAGTCAATTTTTAGAGAACCCACGATGAGAAACAATCAATTTTCAGTGAGGCAAATAGAGGCCGAGAGGGCACCCTGTGCGATAGAGAGTTCAACATGTTTTAAGATACAAAAACAACTTAATCTTCCTCATTGTTTATCAGACAAAGGATTATAGAGTATCTTTATAAATCGGATATGCCACTCTTTTAATGGAGGATCACCATGCATAGCGCGTAACCCTTCTTTGGAGGTAAACGCTATACGGCATAATGATAATGGTAATGATGATAATGATGATATTAATGATAATGATAATGATGATATTAATGATAATGATAATGATGATAATGATGATGATAATGATTATAATGATTATAATGATAATATTGATGATAATGATGATGATAATGATGATCATAATCATAATCATAATCATAATCATAATCATAATCATAATCATAATCATAATCATAATCATAATCATAATCATAATCATAATCATAATCATAATCATAATCATAATCATAATCATAATCATAATCATAATCATAATCATCATCATCATCATCATCATCATCATCATCATCATCATCATCATCATCATAATCATAATCATAATCATAATCATAATAATGCTCCTACAGTCCCCTTAACCAGGTATGAAAAAGGAAACTGTTCTTAGACTTCTAGAAAATTATTTAAGAATATTTTCGAACCCGCACTTTGATGTAGGGATTCCATTTTCGATTTTAAATTAGATAAAAATGTACCTTTGAAAATGCAGAATCATTAAGGCTTCCTAATTGCTCCGCTTTTTTTGACGTTGAAGGCAAAGACTGAAATAAGGTTTAAAAATAAATCAGAAATGAAACAATAAGAAAAAAACTCGATTTAGATTTTTAGAACAAGAGAGTAAACAAATAAAAGAGCAAGAAAAAAAGAAAAATAGTGGAAGGTCAAAAAAGGAACAGAGGTCAAAACTTTTGTTTACAATAGTGCTAATCTCACTAATCTGTAACGTTTAATCTCAATATTCACTGTGACCCTTTATAACTTTCATGATCTGTCAAGCGCCAATGCCAAGGTATTTTCAATAAAAATTCCAGGAAATCTACGGAAAACTTTGTAAACAATCGGGACAATACAGAAACCAATAACTGAACAAGATTAATTATTTTTAATGATAAGAGTTTTACATTTAAATTTTTCAATTTGTTTCTTTAACATTAAATCAATAGGTTATTCGTCCGGGTTATTAAATAATTGCAAAAAACGTTGCTTCTCCGGGCCATTCCTTCTGCTGAAATTATACAAATGAATTTACGCTCTTACTTAAATATTATACACCGTAAAAGCGTCTCATTCTTATAAATAAATCCTAAAATTGTTCGCAATAATACTGCACGCTCGGTTCAAATACGGTACTTAGCCAGACTTTCCCTTAAATAATTCTAGAGGAGCTTTCTTCAGAAAATATATACCCCTTAAACAATAAACATTAATTACATACCGGGCTTGTCGTAGATGTTGATGAAGGAAGTTTAAATAAAGTTTTAGGTTTAGGAGTTAGGACTAGACGAAGCTTGGACTCCTCAGTCTTTATCTCTTCAAATGTGGAGTCCCATTGAAGCAGATTGGAAGAGGATTCCTTAAAGGGACAGTCGATAAAATTTCGGAGGACCCAATGTTTTGAAAGGGACATGGCTGATGCACAACGGTACCCTTTAAATCTTAGTCTGAGCAACAACTAGATTTTGGTTTTCTACTTAAAATTAATAATTTCGAATTGTGGCTTCTATATTAAAAATAACTTGTGAGTTTATTCAGCAGAAAACGACAGAAAACGTTTGTATAATTTTCCAGATAAATAAACGACGATTGCTGTAAAGATAACGTTTTAAAGGGTACTGTTGTAAGTCGTGCATGCAACTCTTAAATGGGTGGTCACTTGAACATGGGTCTAGTCTTTAAAATAATTTAATTAGTTTAAAGGTAATTCTTTTATTTGAATACCTGTCTATAGTTGAAAGGCCGGTATTTAAACTTTGCTTGAGCGGCGAGGAAACTGGGAGAATTAAATGAGTCTCGAAGGTTTGGTTTGGCCAATATCTCAGGGTTTATCGATTTCTCCGGGGTGGTGAATCCTTCTCCAGTGTTGAAGGGTACTCGGATACCCGGAGACTGCTGGTATTGGGTCGGGATGAAGGGTTTAGGAGTGTGCATGAATGGATTAAAGGTAGTTTCAACACTTGTGGAAAACAATCCTGATTTTTTAGGGGTAACCTGTGAATCAGGATTGATATAATTTCCTTTTAAAATGTCTGACTGAGCTTTGAAAACTGGAAGTTCTTGATCGAATCCAACCATTTTTCTTAGATTTTCTGATTTATGGCACTCATCAGGATCACTCTGGTCGTTAGTAGATTTGTTTGACTTATCAAATTCAGTTGGTGATACTAAATATGATTCAGTGTTCTCCAGTTTAGTCCCGAAAACTGTTTTAGTTCCAACATCATGTTCCGCTACAACAATCGGTATTGATTCAATTTCTGTTTTGATCTTAATATCAGGTTCAGTTTGAACTGTTTTTGTTCCAACCACAGGTTTAGTTACACCAATAGGCATTGATTCAATCTCTGTTTCGATCTCAATATCTAGTTCAGCTAAAACAACTGCTTCTGATAAAACTCTTTCAGATGCTTCAGAAACGGGATTAGCAAAAACATCTTGTTCGATCAAAAAAGAGGAATTCGCATTCTGTAATGGGCCAACAGGAATAGGGTAAACTGGAATATATTCAGTTAAGTGGACATTGTCCACTGAAGTTGAAACAGTAACAGTTGTAGATGAAGCATGAAGTGGGGCTGTTATATATGAACTGTTGACTGTAGAAGTTTCCGCCGATGAACTGCTGACCGCCGAGGTTACAGCTGAAGAACTGCTGACTAAAGAAGTTGAAGCAGATGAGCTACTAGCTGAATAAGTTGCAGTCGATGAACAACTTGCTGAAGAATTTAAAGCTGATGAACTAACAAAAGAAGATAAAGCAGATGAAGTGCTGACATTAGAATCTTCAGGTGATAAACTACTCACTGGGAAAGCTATAGCTGATGACATGCTAGCTGAAGAAGTTACAACAGTTGAGATTTCAGATAAGTGTGCACCTAAAACTGGACTTCGGGATGAAGTGATATCGGGTGCAGGAGCATTGTGATCTCCCAAGGAAGATATTCCCAATAAGATTTTAGATCTTGAATGGTTCGAGTTTGATCTTTCAATATCAACTCCCAGCATAGCCTCTCCTTGGGAAAACACGGAATCTTCCAACTGAACCGCATCTTTACTCAGAGATTTCAGGTCTGGATTCAAACACGATTTTTCATCATCTAACCCTGTCCGAGCCGGAGTAAGATGAACTTTGAACAGATTGTTCATAGACCCTAGAGCTGAACCCAGGGTTTCTCCCACCTCTGGTTCTATCCTTGAGATGGAGAGTTGATCCTGCATCTTATTCTCAACCATGCACCTTGATTTTGAACAAAACAATATTTAGTGTTTTCAAACAATGAAGTTTAAGCCAATCATTAGTCTGGATAAAAATGGAAATAAATAAAGTGACAACTTAAAACGATTTGAATAAATTTTTTAGAAAATTGTATTTATGTCTCCCAATACCCCGATAAAACCCTGAAAAATCTAAACATGAGGGAAAAACGTGAGTTTAAAGAGGGAAGGGAATTATTTCCCAAGTTCTAAATATGTTTATCTAGATTTTGTAAAATGTATACTCTATAACTCTGCAGATTTCTTGAATTGTGCTGATATTTCTTTTATGTGACCCATTTTGATTTGTTTTCTGACAGCTAGCGGGGAATTATGGGGAAAAAGGGGCAACCCTTCCCCTTCCCCCAAGGGGGTTACCAATTATATCCCCCCCCCACCCCGATTACGCATACTAAGATTAATAGTAGTCAAAAACTAACAAATGAAATTATTAACAAACAAAAATATAAAAATCTAGACAAACAAACAAAATTAAAAATAAACAAACAATCAAAATATTTAAAACAAGAAAACAACATTATGATTAATGAAGGCACAAACTAACAAAATTATGTACAAACGAACAGATTAAACAAAATAAAATTATTGACAATGAAATAAAGAAAATTTAAAAAAAGAAACCTGTTTCTAGGGTGAATAATAGAATGGTTGGGTTTGGTTGAGTTCGAATCCCCTGCTGCGGAGAAGTGAGATGTTTTCTCTAGGTCGGGAATCATCGAATATTTATCCTAAATAATCAATCAATTAAGAAATTAAAGCTAAGCGGCAACATTTTAACCCCCTGAAGACGGATCCTCAAAAAAATGCGGATACTTAAATCCCCGTTTAAGTGGCAAAATAACAAAACATCGAGAAAAAAAAACACAAATAAAATGCATGTTAGGGTGTCAACCAAAAGTAGGTATTGGAAATTTAAAATTTAAATAGATCCTAAGCTATGACAAAATGGCATTGATGCAATGAAAGTCGACCATTTTAAATCATTTTCAAATTCGGAGGATATTTCTTTTGGAATTGGAGCAATGAAAAAAAAACTACGTTTCATGATTTTTTCCCCTCCAACTTTGATGGTCCATTAATCTTCCCTGGGGTCATGTGAGGTCCCATTTGGGCCCGATCAGTTTAGCCGTTTTGACGTTTATCAGTTACAAACAAACAGACAAAATATATAAATAAAGCTAGGCTTCAATCTCGTCAAAATAAAATCTGTGCTAAGATGACCCATAATGTAATGGTTGCCTACTAGTGCGCCGGTCAGAATGCTCCCATATTTATTTTGACCTTAGAAAAGATTCTTCGTTCCCAATTATTATATTTGTTTCAGGAGTATCAGCATAAATGTTCAAGTGCAAGTAATGAGGTTAAGATTGATTAATTGTAAAAAAAAGTCGTAAATTTCCACAAAAAATGCGCACGCGTACTTTTAATCAGATCCGTTCAAAACCTAAAAATGCATGTTATATACTAAGTTGACCCACAATGTAACTGCCGACTACTAGAGCGCCGGTCAGAATGCTCCAATGTCTATTTTGACCTCGGAAATGAATTCCTTGTCCAAATTTTGCTGTAGTTTGCTATAGTTTTATTGAGCGCGCGCGCGGACTTTTAAAGCTTTGGAGGTGAATTTTTTGAGCGCATATTTTTTTAAAGAGTATCAGGATAAATGTTCAAATGAAATTAATAAAGGTAAGACTGATTTACTGTCAAAAAAGTCGTATTTTTCACAAAAAGTGCGCGCGCACTTTTGCTCAGATCCGTTCAAAACCCAAAAAAGCATGTAATATACATAATTTTAAGCTCTCATGCAAAAAATTAGCCTCCTAGGACAATGCTTAGTTATGTTTAAACACTGTTTAAATTTCCCGCAGAGTAATACGTGTTATGCCCCCCCCCCCTTTTTCAGAATGATCAGTTTACACCCAAAAAATAATTTAATTTCCTACTAGAAATAACTTTATACTATTCTACGATTTAATAAAATCATTTTTGAAGAGAGAGAGAGGGGGGGGGGGTTAACAACAAAATCTAAACATCTGACCTCCAAGCTACGCAAGCGCAGATCACTTTGCGTACTGCGCAAGCTTTGCATGCTGAAGGTGCTGATATCCAGCTCTCCAACCAGAACCTGTTCTTCAAGCGGACACTCAATTACATCCTGCAATCATTGAAATTCATAATAAAATCAATTCGGTTCCGCCGTACAGGCAAACCTTTCATTTTACTTTAAATTCGTTATGTTTATCTAATTCGGAAATTATGAACACATTCTTAACAAATAAGGGAGGGAAAATGCCTTGATAAGGGGGGAGGGGGGTTAACATTTTTTTCAAGATAATATCTTTATCTACTGTGATGTTCTAAATCTGCCGGAATAATATGAATTGATTGATAACTTCAAAGTCGTCTTTGACCCTTAGAAATATTTTGCAGCATTCTACATAGGTAATTTGTTTTCGTAATATATTTTTATGACACAAAAATCACATAATAGCCCTAGTCCTGCAATTTCCAAAATGTGGTCTGCCATTTATGTGCTGTCTTAATTACCGGAGATATGAATGATTTGTTCAGAGTGAAACATTTTCATGGTTTTATTTAATAAATTGAAATTTAAACCAAATTCTTAATATCTCTGGTATTTTTAAGAGCAAACAAATGGCAGACCACATTTTGGAAAACACAGGATAATGGCTACGATTATGGTTTCATAATAAATATTGGTAAAATCAAGTGTTTTATGTTGAATGTCGCAAGCTCTTTTAAGGTTAAAGACGACCTTGAAGTTATCAATCAATTCATATTATTCCGGCTTATTTTGAACATCACTGTATACATAAATTTGGTTTGTCTGTCAATTTGTTTCCAATTGACGTCAAAACGGCTGGCCTAATCCGGACAGAAGTGAAGGTTTATGAGTTCTCTAATTTTAAGCATAATTGTCTTGAAAATAATATTAACTGCTACGATTTATGAAATCCGCCCATTTTAACAGACACATCCTTGGAAAATTTTGTTTATTCGAGAAAAATGAAAAAATGGCAATTTAAAAATCAACGATTAAAATCGTAAAAAGTTACTAAAAATGGATACGAAGTGCCCTAAAAACTTATCATAGTGATTATAAACTTCGGTTATTACAGAAATGATATTTAAAATAAAATTTGTGACCTGATGAATATTTAAGCCCTGATCCATCCATAAAACAGTCGAAACACTTGCGTCCAAGCTTAAATCCACTCCATCCTCCAGATGGAACTTTGCTCCATCCTCCAGATTGAATGAGGGTTCTAGCATGACCTTGAGGTCGATTGTCCTCGATTCTCCAACCTCAGGATCCTTTCCAGCCAACCCTTGACCTACCAGAGATACTTCCAACCCTGAAAAAATATGTCCAGAGCTGAAAACTTTAGAATGGTGGGTATCAGGATTAATGCTTAATCCACTCTTTTTCTTCTACAGATTAAATATTGCTTATACTCCTCATGAACTTAATCTCCAGATTAATTAACAGATCGGGATTAAGGATATCACATTCTAAAGTTTTCAGCTAAGGTAATTTAATAATTTCTTGTGAAACAGTTTTTCAACTAGAGAAAGAGGGGAGAGGTTGAGGTTAAAAATTGGTCCGCCACTTAATAAGCCTAATTCTACTAGCCATTAAAACTGTAAAACTTAGCTATTAAAGGAATCAAGTCAAATAAAACCAAAGACTAAATTTTAGTCTTTGTATAAAATAAGCTGCATCGGAAAATCTACGCAAATTCTACGCACTTTGTTTGGTAAAATAAATATTGTAACAAATGTCATCTTCTCTACAGAACAAAGACCTTTTTGCTTGCTTTGAAGTTCCATTCCATTAAATTTTTTCAAGGAGCAGTGAATTTATTCTTTGGCTGTTCATACATCTGTTTTCTGTTCCTCTTTTGCAGATCTACGCATTCTAATCTCTTGTAGACAAAAGAAATATGCATTTTGACGCATATTACTGCTTTGTTTACCCCTAATATTCCGCATACTTCCCAGAGCTGCAGCTCTCTTTTTGGCAATTTTTTTTCATACTATTCTTTAATTTGATATCTTGGCGCCAGAAATATCAAACTAAGTATAATAAAAAGTTACTGTTAGTGATCCATGAGGGTCAAATTTCTCTGATGAAGTATATTGTGGAATTCTTGATGATTGCTAATGCAACTATTTGCTCCAAATCTTTCATATTTATCATATGTACTCTTTCAGGTTGGGAAAACATAAGTCACTGCTAAGCAGAGTTAGAAAATTCTGAGGATATCTGTTCTCAGAATTCCGCCTTAACAATAACAAATGGGATAAGAAAGGTTAGGAAAGAAGTGGATATTTTCGACAAACGAATTCGATATTTTCGACAAACGAATTCTTGATTCTTGTGAGTTTATCTCGGACAGTGCTTCAGAATATGGCCTTGTCTTCGGGTATCTTTTCCTCGCAGCCGGCAGAGAATAAACCAGTATCAAAACCTATCTCAGGATTCCACTCTATACGTTTCCATTTTTCTTGTTTCTGGTAAGAGGGAGGGGGAAGAGAGAGAGGGAAAAATCCTCTCCTTCTCTGCACTAATATTTTATTTTTTTTCCGACTAGGGTGTACTGCCATGTTATTCCACACAGGGTTCTGTTCAGCCACAAGAAACCGGAGAGAGTTGTATATTAACCTGTCTGTTCTGAGCTCCCTTGATGCTTACATATGGAACCAGATTCAATCAAAAGATTGAACGCCTTTCCGACGAGTTTGGATACTTAATAACATCTAGTCTTATTATTAAGGAGTATATCTAAAGTTGCCAGTAGCAAAATCTGGATCCAGCTAGGTAAAATCCTCCATTCTCCAGGTTAATACAGCGTTAAAAGATTAATGCAGGCCTTCAATGTTTCTTGTAGTTCCGTTCATTTCTTTTCCATTTGTGTGCAGGGGTGTATACAAGGGATATACACTCCTGGCTAAAGTTTATCTAGTTTGCGTTTTTCTCTCTCTCACCCTGTATTTCTGCCTACTTTTAGAAGCGCCGAGCCAGACCCAATTGTTGCTTTTTTGAAAGCTAAATGTACACTGTCCATTCCATTAAATGATTCATACTTTTTAACCCAAGTTATACGAAGTTATTTCTTTGCTTTACACAAAATGTCACTCTGGAGCACTTAAAATAAAACACATGTTGACTTTATCTGGAAATTATCTGAACAATTATTGGCTATTTTTCATACAAAAGAGATGCGCAACTTAATCACAAATTCAGGTTTATTTCAACAAAAGAACTTCTCATCCAACAAATGATTAAATAACTTTTGAACTAAGAATTAATATGATCAATATTTGATCGCTTTTAGCACAAAAAAACGTACAACTGTGTTTAATAACTGCAGTTTTAATGTTGATTATTGGACGCTCAAGTAAAACAATAACCAATAATGTCAAATAGAGCTGTACATAATAGTCAGATAAGTTTCTAATGCAACATCTTAAAATAGATCGAGTCTTCTTTGAATGAAAATGTTTTACCTGGATTATTCAAACCTCGATCTATTGTAGGGGATTTGTACCCGATGTAAGTCCTGGTAAAGTTCTCCTTCCCCCTCTTCAGTATCTTCCTCAGTATGACGGTGCCACAGATAAATAATGAGATGATTAAGCAACCTCCCACTACTCCTAGACCAGCAGCTAAGCCTGAAAATCATTGTTGCAATCCTCCTTTTCAGTGAAACTATTCTTTTAGCTATGTATGCTCAATAGGGTTTCCAGTTGTAATTACGTTACTTACACGTAATTACGCATAACACTTTCTTTCACTTACGGAGAAGCATTACAAGAAATTACGTTTACAAAAGAAAGTCTAGTTTTGCGTAATTAAGGCGTAATTACGCGAAATTACGTAATACGAAACCATTCCGTAATTAGTAAAGTACATATTAATTCTCAGAAATGAATATAGCGGGAAAATATGTGTAAGGATTTCAGTTGGAATCAAAATTCGTTTATTGTGATGGACTAAACCTCTGTAGAGAAAAAAGTAGATGTTAGTTCCACATTTTATTAAAAAAATATTTCGGTCTAAGTTGACCCTTGTTACTTATAGCGATATGATAACCATCAAAATCGATGTTAAAAACCACAAGAAAATATACAAACAAAAAAGATTGTTTGATTTTTTTAATGGGCTGTCTAATGGACAAGAGGGAAACGAAATCAGATCATGAGATGGAAAAAAGATAATTTGCAAATATTCACTTCTTAAAGAATGTTTTAAGATAATTATTATTCCTTGAGATTGTTTCTGTCAAATGAAGACTAAAAACAAACTATTAAGTTTATATGTCAATTGTATAAAGTGGTGGTGAGGGTCGATCTAATTAACAAACTTTTACGTAAATCAGGGGGTGCGGCTTTTCTAAGGAGGGGTTAAATTTAAAGAATTGGAAATTTACTCTTTTTTAAATAATGAATTACAGTTTACAATTAATTAAAAACAATTTTTTTTCTGTTCATTCTTGTGAGTTCAGTCATAAAATCTCGTACTTAAAGACAACTTCTCACAAGGTCTCAAACCTTCTCTATTTAGGCGAAATTGAAGTTTCGCCAATTTCGGGTAATCCTGCGAAATTATACGAAATGAAAATTATTTGGCGTAAGTGAATAATCTATTACGTTGGAAACCCTAACGCTGAAGGGCTCTCTACGATATATTGAAATTTATAACACCTCACTCCCTTTAAGGGCAAATTCTAGTCCTTTAAATTTGATTTTTAATGGATTTATAATAATGACAAAATACCTTTTTTTTTAATAGGTGGGGTGAAAAGCAACGAGAAATGTGCGTTTTCAATTCACAAAGTTTAATTGTGACACTATTGAAGCATTTATTCTTTATTTAATTTGGCAACTCACAAATTACAGTAGCATCTTATTAAAGGGATTTTCGAAGTAATTTCAATTGGCCCTTCTTCTGTAGAGTGACATGTCCAATTAAAGGGAGTGTTCGCGAAAAATGAAAGGGGGTTTAGGCTTACGGCGAAAAATAATCTTTTTTTTTCTTTCTAAAAATGTATAACTTTCAGTTGAAGGTTTTTATAAATGTTACTTGCAGGTTTATACTGCAGAGACGATGAAAATCACAAATTTTTCAAACTTTATAAGAAAGAAAACACATCGACAACACTTACCTCTTTATTACTCAGATAACGTTTTAAAGGGTTTAGTCGTGAATCGTACATGTCATTCTATCAAATAAAAGGTCACTTAAGCCAGAGGGTCCGTCATAGTATACGATTTTAGCCCCCCCCCCCCCGGTCAGAATTGTTATTATTTATTTTTTATTATTTTAGGGTTAAGTTAGGTTCAGACAATTTCTGGGCCGAGCATTGCAGCTATGACATGCTAGGGGCCGAGCACCGCGGCTAAGACTGGCTAGGTGCCGAGCGCCTCGGCTAGGACCGGCTAGGGGGAAGGGCGCTGCGGCCACATGACAAATTATATCCAAATGTTACAGATGAGATCCATGTACAAAATGGATAGGAGGTGGGGGGGGGGGGGAACAAAAATCGTTTTCTTTGAAATTACCTGCCAGAGGCAGCTTAAGATGAGAGGGGACGCCCCCCCTGGAAAATTGGGGGACGTCCCCCTTCCTGGAACAATTAAGAACCCAAGATAAGAGAGCAGGTACATTCTAGTCCATTGATGATGATTTTTTAAGAGATTCCAAAAACATTCTAACATTTCCCCGGCTGTTCATGGTTTAGACATAAAATTGATCGCAAACTCCCTGTAAAAATTCCAGGTGAGGAGGGGGGGGAGGGGGGCGATTCGGCGCCTTCACGCGCAATATTTCAGTAATTCTCCGCCCCCCCCCCCTGGAAAATATCATTAGCCGCCCATGTCACATGGGTCTACATTGGTACTTTTTATCCAGAAACCATTTAGCCATAATAATATTAATAACTTCCTTAAACAATGGTAAATGGTAGCAGAGGGGAAATATTTACCCACCCTCATAGTAAATCCAAGCCGCGGCACTCAACCCCTAGCCTGTCCTAGCAGCTGCGCACGGGCCAGAAATTATGTAAACCCAGCCTAAATGTAAAGGGACGAAATACTAAATTTCCAAGGCCATCCCAGTCAGTTTTAGGACCTCCCCCCTCCCTTCCTAACAATTTTGTATAAGACCTAGATTTTACCTATTTTCAACAAAAAAAATGTTGTTTTGTATTAATTTAAGGTTAGGTTAGGACAATTTTGGGCCGAGCGCTGTGTTTAGGACAGGCTAGGGGGCCGAGCGCTGGGACCAGGACAGCCCTTCAATTTCAAAAATTTTCAAAAAGGTTAATATATATTTAGGGATATGTTAGATTGAGACACTTTCTGGACCGAGCGCTGCGATTAGGACAGGTTAGGCCTAGGGAACAGAGCGCTCCGGCTTGGACATGCTAAGGGGCCGAGTGCCGCGGGCGGCTAGAACAGGCTAGGTGGCCGCCAAATAAACAACTTTATCCACGTATTCAATATGAGATGCATATACAAAATTGAAAATTGATAAGAGGGGGGGGGGGGGGGGGGGCCAAAAATTGTTCTGTAGAAAATCACCAAATTTCCAGAATGTACCAGTTTTTAGGAGGAAAGGGGTCCGAAAATTCAGAAAGTAACCTGTATAATCAAGAGAATTTTCCTCTGCTGTGGAAGGAATAGAAGTTGAGGAAACAGAATCGTCCATTTTATTCAAATTCAAGGAAATTCTGAAATATTTTAGAAATCATTGATCATACAAAATCTCAGAAATATGAAAGAGATGAAATTAATTAACGCCAAAACCTAGTATATTCCGAAATTCGCTAAAGTTTGGTTCACCAATCACCGTTGTCAATGTTGATGAAACTAAGAGTGCGCAGAAATCAAAACTTTGAGCGTTAATTTCAGAATCGTCGTCTTCCAAGAAATAACCAGGATATCATAAGACTTGAACTACTGTCGTACAGGAACTACTGATTATTTTCACTTTTTGTCATTTACCCGAAAAAGAGTGGCAGCAAAGCTTACTCCCGCCCACTAAAAAAAAACGTGCGACCTCTAATGAATATTTTTTTGGGGTGGAAGGGGATGGGGAGCATTTTATGCCCCTTTAAATCGAATTTTTTAAAACTAAAAATGTATTTAAAATATATGCCTTTCTCTATAAAAAATAAATTAGCCATACAACCATAAACCACATAATATATAATGGGTACCTCCGTACGATCCCTTGCCCAATGCCCTGTGCGCAGTCCCCAAAAATATTTCTATTTCAATTTTCTTTTTAAAATCAGTTTTTTCAACATTTTTTGTCTAAACTTAGCACAAAAAAATAAATATTTTTTGTTAATCTGAAATTACGAATAAAATCTTTGAAACAATTATCACAATTTAATGAAGAGTTTATTTTTACTTTAGAACAGATTTTTACGCCTGAATTTGTTATTGATCCATTTTTATGACAGGTTTAAGAAATTAGGTAGTTAAATAGGCCAAAAATGTTATTTTAAGGAGCCTTCTAAGGGACTGAACAAGCTGGGATGAGGGGTTTGACGCCCCCCCCCCCCGGCCCCCTATAGTTTTTTGCCATAGCACTCTAAAAAAATTTACACTATCACCTTAAATTTTTATGACTTTTAAGGAATAGTATTAAAGGATTTTTGTATTTTTTTAAAAGCATAGCTGGTAGGATACAGGGCGGTAAAAAGACCGGTGCATGGATTCACCTACCAAATGACCACCTTGAGGTCAAAAAGGTAAATAGTGTCGTCGACAGTTATGTTAGTGACATAGAAATAGTAAGAATGGATTCGCCATGTGGAAGGTCACCTAGAAATAACAAATTCAGGCGTAAAATTATTTCTAAAGTAAAAATATTCTTAGTCAATGCGAAAATTTTTTAAAAGTTCTATTATTTATTTTTGTGCCCAGTTAGGTTAGTTAAACAAAATTGATGGAAAAAGCGAACTGTGGATTGTACCAATTAATATCAAAAAGAAAATTTTAAAAAAAAATTAATTAATAAACTTCTTATCCATTAAATGTCCTATCAATGAAATGTCCGCTCTATTAAATAGCTTGTCTATTAAATGTCCTGTCTATGAATTGTCCTTTCTATGAAATGTCTGGTCTCTATGAAATGTCCGGTCTATGAAATGTCATATCTTTGAAATGTCTAATCTTTGATTTTGTTATCTATGTATGAAATGTCCATCTGTTACGCGAGCCATGCTGCGTGTAGAAAGTCTGCTTGTCGCCCCTGTGTGTTTCTGAGTTCCCCCTGAAGATCTGTACGGAATGTATTGTGAAAGAACTAGTTTAGGAACTGTTTACAGACCGACTGCGCAGACGCAAGATTTCTCGCGGAGTAGTAACTAATTTATATCAGTATATGTTTATTCGTTTTGCAAGTATTAGCCGTGTTCAGAATTCTGGGATCACTGTGGTAACTATTTATATATATATTTATGCTTATCGGTTTGATTATAGTATGATTGATATTTATATACGTGTTTATTGGTTCCTAGCCACAGTTTTTTAATGCCTGAGTGAATTATTTGTTGTAGTTGTATGATTTGTCACTCACAGCTTTTTCTGTGGGTTTATTAAACTTATTTAGATTGAAGGCTCAGAGAAATAAACGTTCGGAACCTTACTATCATCCTTTTATTATGAAGAGCGTTGAGAGAAGGGAGTCTTACGATCCGGTCCTGAGAAATACCACACGGTATATATATTAGGTCTTTAGGGAAATCGCTAAGTAGCGAAACACCATCTATTAAATTTTTTTCTATGAAATGTTCCAGCACCTTAATAGCACTATAAACAATTTATTTTCTTGTAACTGAATTTCTATTATCTTGTTTGAATCAATCATGCCTGGCCCTGAACCAGTTTTAGGCCGGAACAATCTTTAAAACAAGGCTTTGTGGATCTGTCATTGATACAGAGTTAGCTCTCAATAGGACACTACCTCAACAATATTCTTTTTTTTCTTAATATTTTCAATAGATAGATAGATAGATAGATAGATAGATAGATAGATAGATAGATAGATAGATAAATAGATAGAAATATATTTGACTAAACATTTAATTAAAAACAATTTCAATTGCACAATTTTTACATTTTAGTTTAGCCAGGGCCTCTCTCCAACCATTGAACCATTGAGAGGCCCTTTTGCAGCGATACATACATGTTCAATTTAAATAAAACAAAATAAAATGACATTTTTTTTTAAATGTTTATTTATTACATTTGTATTGCAACTTCTTTTATCAAATCACATGTTATGTCTAACACGATGGTTTTTAATGTTTATAAGCGTAAATTAGTAGCACCACCATTACCATAGATTATTCCATGGATTAAGTTTTTGTGGTAATGAACATCAGTAAACAGTGAATACATTCCCGGCTTAAGCATGACAGATTATCATATTTTAATGTTAACAAAATTAAATTAAAACTAATCAATTTGAGGTCATAAATTGTGATGAAGTATATAAATAATGGCAGATTACAATATGGTTTAGAATTATCTAAAGTTTTTACCTTTCCAACCATGTCTGGACCTGCTGTCTCACTTGTTACTCCTACCAGCATGTTCTGGTTTGTTGTTCCTATTGTAAGACATTTGCTGATTAATTAAATCCCATTAACTTAATAAATCAGCTGTACATATTGGCATTTCGACTTTAGTTATTTTATTAATGGGATGGGGGGGGGGGGGGGGGGGGGGGGTTGTGAGGAAAAATGGTCCAATAGAATTTCAAAAACTGTAACTAACTAAATTTACATGAGATTTTTTAAACATTTTTTAAAAAGTCACACATGTTTACATCTTTCACGGTTTTCAATAGGAGTTATAATACGTATATCTCTAAGAGGTTTTGGGGGTTAAATTCCAACAAAAAAATGTGTATTTTATTTAAGGTTAGTTTAGGTAGGCTAAAAAAGTACTTCAAAAGTGATCTCAGCAAATTCATGCCTCCAGCACAAAGGATGTCCTAAAGGAACTGAGTCTTTGCCGCAAACTGTGATTTTCTAATCCTTATATTTTTGCAATCTTTTCGTAGACCTTAGTTATTTCCAAACTATTAATTCTGTTAGCTAAAATTATTTAAGTTTGAAATATCTAATGTTTACACCATCAGATGGAAAATATAAAAAGATTAGATAATTTTATTTTGTGGCAAAGACTTATTTTCTTTGATATGTCTATTGTCTATAGGTATAGCAAAATTATTGAAACAAGTGCCGACTTGTTAATTAGAATATGTATCTTTGATATGTCTATAGGTATAGCAAAATTATTGAAACAAGTGCCGACTTGTTAATTAGAATATGTATCTTTGATATGTCTATAGGTATAGCAAAATTATTGAAACAAGTGCCGACTTGTTAATTAGAATATGTATCTTTGATATGTCTATAGGTATAGCAAAATTATTGAAACAAGTGCCGACTTGTTAGAATATGTATCTTTGTGCATTATTTAAGCCAAAATAAGAATTCCTTTACTTTTTACAATTAGTTATTTAGATTATCTTAATATTCTTAATTGTACAAAAGAACTAATACTGTTCTTGTTCTGATCAAAGTTGTAAGAATTTAATTTTTAAAGACAAAAAATGATGCAAATAAGTATTGATTTATTAAACTTACATCTGGTCGTTGCTTTCCAATAGTTTTTTCACATGTCTCTTTGCTAGCCACCTTCAGGCTGACATCTTTAATCATTTGAACAGATTGAGTATCTGAAGATCCAAATTACCCCCATCCTTCAAATATTAACTTTATAAAATGAGGCAATATAAACTGAATCTGAGGAATTTGACCTAAACGTTATCTGAATGAATTATTTTGAGCAATGGAAAGAAATCAAATATTATGCTTTAAAAATAGGTCGGAAAACTTAAGGTCAGAAAAATCAAAGGTTAGTTTCCTCAAGGGTGTTATTATAACTGAAAGACGAGAAGCTTACCAACTGCTGACCCTGTTTTCCAAAATATTTGTCAGTATTAAATGCTGGAAGTGGTAAGCATACACCTAAATATCCACCTAAATAGTAAGGTTTAATATTGCAAAAGAGTCAAATTACTAAACATGAAATTTAAAGTTATCATTGTTTGTAGTTTAAGAAGAGCAATTTCATTAATGCTGTATAATTAAGATTATAATCAGGATTTTTTTAAATCTGAGAAACTTTAACATTTTGCCTGTAAAATAAAAGATGTTAACATTAGCAGTGAGATGCAACAGGAAGGGTTCATTATTAATTCTTGAAGCTATTTTTTAATGATTCTGCTTGAAGGTCAGAATAATGATTAAAGGGAGTGACCGGCTAAATCTTTGTGAATAATGAGAAACCAGAATAATGATGCATACTCAGTTCAACTACTATACATAGCCGGTCAATCCCTTTAAGTTTTATTATTAAAGGTTTAAAGAATGTGGAAACGGTGCTGATTATACTCGCTCTAAGCCATGGTTATCTTTTCCACATATCTTTGCAAATTGATGGTATAAACCTTTTATATTTCAAACTTAGATTTATACTAAAGATCGTAGAATTCATAGTTTTAAAAAAAACAATCGTTTTTTTTTCATTTTTCGTTTGTTCGTCCATCGTTCACAAAAAAATTAGTTCGTTCTTAAAAATTTCATTCTTTCAAAAAAATTATGCCCATCTCTACCGTACATACGTGAGAGAATTTTCGCATGTAGACTATTGATCATGTTCAC